CAACAAATTAAAAAAAATCTGGGATTTGAATTTATAACTTTTAGATCATTGGGGTTTGGATAGATACATGTTAAACTCCTAAGCTAACCGAAGCTCTGAGCTGGTAGGTTAGTAAATCATGACTTAGTAAGTGAAATATGATCAGGGACGTGCAAAAATGTAAGAAATGCAACATTTGAACATTCAACTCTAACATAACCAACAGGGATAACAAGCTGTAATAGCCCTGAGCCATCCAGAAATCTGCAGCTCAAAGCCGTAAATCAAGACTTAGCAATGAAACATGATTGGCACATGTATAAATTCAAAAAGGTTACCTGTGATTTGAACCTTTGATGTTTTGATTACTGGAATGAGACTGGGTGGAGGTTAAACCCTTAGGCTAACGAGAACAGAGATCTCAGCAGCAATAAATCCAGACTTAGTAAGTAAAATCTGATCAGGGCTATGCACAAATGTAAAAAAAGCCAAATTCGAACCTTCAACTCTAAAATTTTCAACATGGACAATCATCTGTCACACCCCTGAGCCAAAGAGAACTTTGCTCCTGAAGGAACTCAATGATGATTTACTAAGAGAAACATGACTGGGACACACAAACTCAAAAGTAGAACTTAAGATTCAAACATACAACTTTAATTGCCCTGAGAGGAAGAGGGGTTGTTGTTAAACCCCTAAGCTATCTGTCACTTTGAGAAAAGCCACACTAAATCAAGAGTTAGTAAGTGAACCATAATCACGGAAATGCACAAGAAAGTTGAGGATTTGAACCAGCAATTGTAACAACTTTCTGTTGGTGGGGTGTTCATAGGTAGATGGTTTACCCCTCACCTATCTAGACATTGCATGCTAAAAGCTTTAAATCAAGTAAGTGAAATATGCTCAAGGACATGCAACAATTACAAAAATCGTAAATTTGAACCTTCAACTCTAACAGGGTTGATTGGTTGTTAAGCTCCTGAGCCAAACAGAAATTTGACCTTCAATGCAGTAAATGAAGACTTAGTAAAGGAAACATGACTGGGACAATCATAAATGGAATTTGGGGTTCAAATTTATACTGCTGATGGTCCTGAGATGAAGATGGGTGGATGTTAAACCCCTAAGATACCTGTTGCTTTGCGCAAGGTGGTGGTAAAGGTTAGTAAGTAAACCATAATCAGGGAAATGCACAATAAAGATCAAGAATTGAACCAGCAACTCCAATAACTTGATGGAGGTTGAAAGGCGGGTGCTATACCCTTCAGCTATCCAGACTTGAGATGGTCAGTGATTTAAATCAAGTAAGTGAAATATGCTCAAGGACATGCAACAATTATAAATTGTAAATTTGGACCTTCAACACTCAAGCTGCTGAGAGAGATGATGGATGATTAAGTCCCTGAGCCAAACGGAACTGTGACCCTCAAGCCAGTAAATGAAGACTTAGTAAAGGAAACATGATCAGGACCAATCACAAACTCAAAATTAGAACTTGAGATTCAAGTTGACATTGAGGTTATGTGTTGATGGAGTTGATGTTGATGGAGTTGACATTGAGGTTATGTATTGATGGAGGTGACGATGTGATGGAGTTGATGGTGTTGATGTTTATGTTATGGAGTTGATGTTGATGGATTTGATGATGATAATGAAATTGACCTTGATGAAGTTGATGGAGTTGATGAGGTTGACATTATGGAACCGACACTGATGAAGTTGATGATGTTATAGAGTTGATGGTGCTAATGGAGTTGACATTGAGGTTATGTGTTGATGGAGGTGACGATGTGATGGAGTTGATGGTGTTGATGTTTATGTTATGAAGTTGATGTTAATGAAATTGACCTTGATGGAGTTGACAATGTTATGGAGTTGACCTTGATGGAGTTGACAATGTTATGGAGTTGACCTTGATGGAGTTGACAATGTTATGGAGTTGACCTTGATGGAGTTGACAATGTTATGGAGTTGATGGAGTTGACGTTGATGGAGTTGACATTGATGGAGATGACGTTGATGGAGTTGACGATGTGATGGAGTTGATGGTGTTGATGTTTATGTTATGGAGTTGATGTTAATGAAATTGACCTTGATGGAGTTGACAATGTTATGGAGTTGACCTTGATGGAGTTGACAATGTTATGGAGTTGACCTTGATGGAGTTGACAATGTTATGGAGTTGACCTGATGGAGTTGATGTTGATGGAGTTGACAATGTTATGGAGTTGACCTTGATGGAGTTGACAATGTTATGGAGTTGAAGTTGATGGAGTTGACAATGTTATGGAGTTGACCTTGATGGAGTTGACAATGTTATGGAGTTGATGTTGATGGAGTTGACAATGTTATGGAGTTGAAGTTGATGGAGTTGACAATGTTATGGAGTTGACCTTGATGGAGTTGACAATGTTATGGAGTTGATGTTGATGGAGTTGATGTTGATGGAGTTGACCTTGATGGAGTTGACAATGTTATGGAGTTGACCTTGATGGAGTTGACAATGTTATGGAGTTGATGTTGATGGAGTTGACAATGTTATGGAGTTGAAGTTGATGGAGTTGACAATGTTATGGAGTTGATCTTGATGGAGTTGACAATGTTATGGAGTTGATGTTGATGGAGTTGATGTTGATGGAGTTGACCTTGATGGAGTTGACAATGTTATGGAGTTGATGTTGATGGAGTTGACAATGTGATGGAGTTGACGTTGATGGAGTTGACGTTGATGGAGATGACGTTGATGGAGATGACAATGTTATGAAGTTGTTGGAGTTGACATTGAAGTTATGGAGTTACGATACTCTCTACACCCAGACTTACAGGTAACATGGACAGTTCTCCCCATTGGTCATACAGCAGCTGAATAAGATTCTATACTTTCTGAGCCATAAGACAGACTTAGAATATTCTTCATTTATTATTACTATTCAGCCAAACTAATACATTCGATCCCAAAGAGACGACTCCTTATAAACCATCTACTGAGTGGTTGTTAATATTGTAATTCCAAAACTTGTTTTTCATCTCTTTACATATGTGGTGTTTAACAATAGCTGGTGATCCTGCCAAGAAGGCTGCTCAGCATGGTCGGATCTAGGGGGGGTGTTGGGGTGAGCTATGCCCCTCTTCCCCCAGATTTTAGTTGTGGCCACAATCATTCACTCATAACAGGGTCCCTTTAAGATGGAGCATGTGTGAAAGGGGGAAAATACCGTAATATGGCTACTAGATGGAGCTGACTTATAGACAATAAGCGTGCGCCTCAGCTCCATCTAGTGGCCATAATGTGGTATTTTCCACATTCACACATTCGAACTGCAGAGAATATAGTCTGAGAACATTCGATTTTCCATCCAGCTTCGATGTAGGAACAGCTACGCGGGTTTTTAGGATTTTTATAGGACCGCCCACTCCCCAGGCTGACATCCACCCACCAAAGTGTTGTTCATTCGGATACATGTACACTAATATAAACACCAAAAAATGTTATCTGTATATTTTGTGTCTTACATCTGAACTCCAGCAAGACAGATACAAATACAGGAGCTGTGTTACCTTCCATAGGATTTGTACTTCTGTCCATCCAGTCCTGAGATTCACACAGCTCGGCCACGCAGCACAGCTCCGTTCGGCAGGGCTGGAAACCTGCCTCTCTCTGCTGCAGTTCAGTAACACTTACAGGTCTTGTCCCTCCCCCAGCCTGTGATTAGAGAGTGAAATGTCCCACCCCTTTCCTCCCCAGCCTGACTATCCCTGGTCCCGCCCCTCTCATTTATTGGATTTTAGGCTCAGCATCACATGGGGGGCGTTACATAGGGTGGTCAGCATGTAACTACAGCCCTCCCAGCAACATCCACCCATCAGGTACAGCACCCTGCTGGCCCCTCCCACTAGCCATGATCTGCCTGCATTGCATAGGAAAGCACAGAGACCAACTGATGATGGGTCTATAAATAAGGTGTATAATGAAAATGGAAAGGTTTTTTTTTATTGTGTTGGCACGTTGATGAGGGGAGAAAAAACAGAGAAAGAAAATAAACAGATTAAACTGCTTTATTGAATATCTCATTTATAATATATAAAAATATATATTTAAAAAATATATATACTTAAAAAAATTTAAATAATTTTTTTTATATATTTATTTTATTTTTTTAAATATAATGTATAAAAAAATATATATATTTTTAATATATTTTATATATACACTAAAAAAAGACCCAATCCCATGGGAAGTGTTTTAATACACCGCTGGCTTCCTGGCTCTTTATGTCACTGAAGGACAACAATGTGAGCTCAATCAATGGAAAATATTTCAAATTCCACCTCAAGATTGACGGATTTGTGAAAGGACTCAACTTCAATCACAAAACAAGTCCTCTTGGTGAAAAATTCAAATATCGTTCTATGGCGACATCCATTTTAGACTGAACAAGGCTCAGCATGTACCACCCCCAATATGTGATCAGGGCGGGGGGGGGGGGGGGGGGGGGGGGGGGGGGGGGGGGGGGGGGGGGGGGTGCAGGAAGTCACCTGTGTGCAGGAAAATGTCTTCCTCTGGGAAACAAATTTATTGCGTTTGTTTTCAGACCATCAAATATTTTACATATTATTCTGTCACATGACATTTCCTTTATGTAATCCATGTTCTAGCTTTGATATACTGACACTTAAGCAGACCCTATTTTACTTAAGAGAAAAAAAAAAAAAAAACAACATAAAAAAATACTAAAAATAAATTAAAAATATACTAAGAAGAAAACTAAAAAACAAAAATACTAAAAAGAAAATTAAAGAAAAAAATACTAAAAAAAAAAAAAAAAAAAAAAAACAAAAAAAACTACAAAGACTATTTTATGTCCTAGACTCTTGCTAACCTCTAACCCCGTACTAACTACTAATCTTCCTTGTAGGTTGTACTAGTGGAGCCTGTTGTGTGTGTGGCAGCCAACTCCGAGCAGTCGGCTCCAGAACAGGTAATGTCGCAGGACGCTAAACCTTCCAATGTCCCACCGCAGATTACAGCCGCAGCCGATGATGGGAAAGGAGCCAAAGAAACCTCCACAAGACCCCGGCTGTTCTGGAGAAAGGTCAGTAAACTTCCAGTGTTATAATCCAATCCATCGCTGTACCCCGAGGGAGGCACTAGGGTGGGGGGCAGCTGAGGCATCAACTGGGGAAGATGGGGCCCAACATTCACACTAAAGAAATAATTATTCAAACAAAAATATGGGGGAGTTTTTGCATGTTTTATTCATATAAGGGGGCATGTGAGTCGTGTAAATATTATATGTATTATATTAAAAATATTTATATAAATACAATCATATAATACTATGTATATAATATATTAATTATTTTTATATAATTGTATAAATACTTTTAAAATATTTAGAAAATTCAATAAAACTTCATATACAGTATGTATTATGATAACACACTGTATATGAAAATATTTTTTACAGAATTTTATAAATATTGTTATAGAATTGTTTAAGAATTTTAAAAAGTATTTATAAAATTCTATAAAAAAAAACTTTTCATACACAGCGGATATATATATATATATATATATATATATATATATATATATATATATATATATATATATATATATATATATATATATATATATATATATAGATATATAGATATATATATATATAAATAAATGATATAAATACTTTTGAAATTTTTTCAAAATAATTCTGGATAAATTATATAATAAATTATTATTATTATTATTACTACGAGTTTATATAGCGCCAAAGGTTTGCTCAGCGCTGTACAATAGGGGGGACAATACATGGCACAGTACAACAACAACAAACAATGTACGAGGGGTAAGAGGGCCCTACTCTTACGAGCTTACAATCTAGGAGGGAGGGGGTAAAAGGTACAGTAGGAAGTGGCTGAGGGGGATGAAGTGGTGGGAGGAATGAGGGAGGATGGCCGTTAGGTGAGGGTGGGGTAGGCTTCCCTGAAGAGATGGGTTTTGAGGGAGCGCCTGAATGTGAATAGGGAAGGCGACAGTCTGATGGATTGGGGCAGTGAGTTCCAGAGGATGGGGGAGGACCTGGAGAAGTCCTGCAGTCGTGCATGGGAGGAGGAGACCAGGGAGCAGGATAGAAGGAGGTCCTGTGAGGAGCGAAGGGTACGGGTAGGGTGGTACTTGGTGATAAGGTTGGTGAGGTAGTCAGGGGCAGTGTTGTGAACGGCTTTGTAGGTCAGGGTTAGGAGTTTAAATTTGATGCGTTGGGCAATCGGGAGCCAGTGGAGGGAGAGGCAGAGGGGGGTGGCAGAGGTGGAGCGGGTGGTGAGGTGGATGAGTCTGGCAGCTGAGTTCAGGATGGTCTGGAGCGGGGAGAGCCTGCACTTGGGTAGGCCAGTGAGGAGGGAGTTGCAGTAAATTATATAATTGTATTTATATAAATATTTGTAAAATTCTATAAATAATTCTATTAAAAAATTTAAGCATTTTAAACATATTAGTTTTATATAAATATTTTATAGAATGTATATACATATACATGCGCACACATGATTTCACAACTTAGCAGGCTGTAAAATCATAATTTGATATACTGTAATCTATATTTAAAAAAAAAAAAAAAACATTTTAACAATATATTCCAGAAAATCAGCTGTGTGATCTTCCGGTCTGTTTAAAAATATAGCCTACATGATTATTAGACATATTCAGCAAATAGAGCTTACATACTTAGTATATCTAAAGCACATTTTTTAATTTTGGAAAGGAAATGATTAATAATGAATTATAATGATGAGGTATATTTACTATTAATATTTACTTTAATGCTAAGGATTTATTTAATATTGAATACTATTATAACTGTTAAATTATTGTATAAGATTGTTATAATTCTTATAATTATGAATGATTTACAAAGAATGGTTAAAAGCAACCAATTTTCTTTGCTGTTGCTTTTTTTTTGGCCGTCGGGGAGATTTCACATCAGTAGGAAATTCTTAAAAAAATAATCTCACTTTTACCTGCTCTAAATAAAAAAAAAAAAAAATCCTGAATGTCAAATTTTCCATTTAACCTTTTTTTACATGTAATACATCTAATCTTTTAACTTTCCTTTATCTTCAGTCTTTTAAAGGAGACCCCCAGCCCAATAAAATCCAAGAGAATGTAAGTTTACATAGCATGTTTTTAGTAAGTGATAGTTATGGAAGGGAATTCTTTCCTATTATTGAACAGCCAGTGATTTATTTATTTTATGAAAACAATATATGGCATTTTTAAAAATATATTTTAAAAAAAAAGTGAGGGTAGTTAAAACAGGTTACAACCTGATATATTTAAAAACTTAACACAATTTTTTAAAATTAAAATAGTTAATAAAATGGTTTATATATTGTGTTCATAAAATAAAGTAATAAAAAAAAAAAAAAAAAGAAGAGGGTCTGAAAACCCAAAAATAATTCAAATTGAAATTTTTTTAATGACTAGTTTAAATTAATCTTTGAATGCACACATTTACACAATGTCAAATAAGCCCTTGTTCATACCGGTGCAACTTAAAGGTGAGACATGCGATTTACAATTCGCACCTAAAGTTGCATCTATATATTTTTCTATGGCACTGTTCTAATCAGTGCGATTTAAAAAATAGTTCCTGCAGTACATTTTTCCCCGATTTCATTGCGACTTGCATTAACTTCTATTAAATGAAGTCACAAGCCGCAGTGAAATCAGAGGTACAAATTGCACTGATCTTTGGCTTTGAAATTGCACTACTCGCAATTTCAAAGGTCGCATTCAGAGTGAAACGGGACTAATTTCCTAAACTGTACATTAACCACATCTTTAATTTTTTATTTTTTTTGTAAATATTACACTTTATTTTTGTGCATCAGATATTGTAAATAAAAACACATTTTTCATCCTTTTTACATATGGTCAAATCATTTTTTTTACATTAAATATGACAAATTGCCAATTTCATATAATCATTTTTTTATTTTAATGGAAAATTGTAAAAAAAAAAAAAAAAATTAATTTATATTTAAAGGAATCCTGTGATCAAAGAAATGTCAAAGCATGCAATTGCTGACCTCCTGAAAATGCAATTTTCCTGCTTGCTTGGCTTAAATATTTAATTGGCACTGTTGCAGTGGGTGGGTGGTAAAATCTAAAAGATAAAATACTGACCATCTGATCTTTGTTTGCCTAAAAAAGCACACCAGGCAATGTGTCCTGTAGTGATATATACATATCTATATCAATATATTACATATACACACACATTATTATTATTATACAGGATTTATACAGTGCCAGCAGTTTGCTCAGCGCTTTACAAGAATTATATACACACACACACACACACACACACACACACACATATATATATATATATATACACATACACACACTCAAACAATTACCACGATTTAAATTTTTTTTTATATATATATATATATACAGTCATGGCCGAAATTGTTGGCACCCTTGATATTTTTCCTGAAAATCAAGTATTTCACACAAAAAAGGTATTGCATTAACACATGTTTTGCTATACACATGTTTATTCCCTTTGTATGTATTGGAACAAATATAAAACAGAGGCAGAAAAGCAAATATGACATAATGTCACACAAAACCCCAAAAATGGGCTGGACAAAAGTATTGGCACCCCTTAACTTAATATTTGGTTGCACACCCTTTGGAAAACATAACTGAAATCAGTCGCTTCCTATAACCATCAATAAGCTTCTGACACCTCTCACCCGGAAATTTTGGACCACTCTTCCTTTGCAAACAGCTCCAGGTCTCTCTTATTGGAAGGACACCTTTTCCCAACAGCAATTTTAAGATCTCTCCACAGGTGTTCAATGGGATTTAGATCTGGGCTCATTGCTGGCCACTTCAGAACTCTCCAGCGCTTCTTTGCCATCCATTTCTGAGTGCTTTTTGACGTATGTTTGGGGTCATTGTCCTGCTGGAAGACCCAGGATCTTGGACGCAAACCCAGCTTTCTGACACTGGGCCCTACAGTGCGACCCAAAATCCTTTGGTAATCCTCAGATTTCATGATGCCTTGCACACAGTCAAGGCACCCAGTGCCAGAGGCAGCAAAACAACCCCAAAACATCATTGAACCTCCACCATATTTTACCGTAGGTACTGTGTTTTGTTCTTTGTAGGCCTCATTCCGTTTTCGGTAAACAGTAGAATGATGTGCTTTACCGAAAAGCTCTATCTTGGTCTCATCTGTCCACAAGACGTTTTCCCAGAAGGCTTTTGGCTTACTCAAGTACATTTTGGCAAACTGTAGTCTTGCTTTTTTATGTCTCTGTGTCAGCAGTGGGGTCCTCCTGGGTCTCCTGCCATAGCGTTTCATTTCATTTAAATGTCGACGGATAGTTCGCGCTGACACTGATGCTCCCTGAGCCTGCAGGACAGCTTGAATGTCTTTGGAACATGTTTGGGGCTGCTTATCCACCATCCGGACTATTCTGCGTTGCAATCTTTCATCAATTTTCCTCATCCGTCCACGACCAGGGAGATTAGCTACAGTGCCATGGGTTGCAAACTTCTTGATAATGTTGCGCACTGTGGACAAAGGCAAATCTAGTTCTCTGGAGATGGACTTGTAACCTTGAGATTGTTGATATTTTGCCACAATTTTGGTTCTCAGGTCCTCAGACAGTTCTCGTCTCCTCTTTTCTGTTGTCCATGCTTAGTGTGGCACAGACAGACACACAATGCAAAGGTTAAGTGAACGTCTCTCCTTTTTATCTGCTTTCAGGTGTGATTTCTATATTGCCCACACCTGTTACTTGCCCCAGGTGAGTTTACAGGAGCATCACATGCTTGTAACATTCTTATTTATCCGCAGTTGTGAAAGGGTGCCAATACTTTTGTCCAGCCCATTTTTGGAGGTTTGTGTGACATTATGTCGAATTTGCTTTCTTTCCTCCCTTTTTTTGTTTTGTCCCAATACACACAAAGGGAATAAACATGTGTATAGCAAAACATGTGTTAATGCAATACGTTTCGTGAGAAATACATGATTTCCTGGAGAAATATCAAGGGTGCCAACAATTTCGGCCATGA